TTGCAGAAATATAAAAACAAATCTGTTGCTTTACCACACTACTTTAGGTCATTCACAGTCACTGTAATAAACATATGTAAACATGTGCACTGCACTTTTTAAACACTGTCTGTTAACTTTAGACCAGTGGTTCTCAAACTTTTTTTGGTTGCACCCCCCTCAGACTACCAAATAATTTCACTAAACATTATGAAACCTACAGGGAAAAAAATCACTTGAAACATTGAAAAATAGCATAGAGAGAATAACTTCTTATTCTCTCTCTCTGTTATTTATTTATTTTTTTGTGGGTTTCTTGCCGTCCGCTAAGGCAGTGTTTCCCAACGGCACCCCGGTTGAGCCGACAGGAAAAATTGAGCCGACAGGAAACATTGATGTAGTACAGTATTGTTTCTGTCTGCAATAGCCCTACTGTGTTGTAACATGGTGTGGTATATGGGCAACTCTGGTAACGCTGCCCTCTCATTCATTGATCTGCTAACCGCTATGTTGTGCTCGCGTGTTCTGATAATAATAGCTTTCTAGGACTAAAATTTATAAGACAGTTGTTGTCAGATTTCATTAGTGATTTCAAATATGAAATTTAATCGTAAGCTTCATGAACAGTTTTGGAGAATTTGATGTTTCCCCATTCAAAGAGATAGGAGCTGCACTTGCATGCCCCAGAGGCGTTTCAAAGATAGCCACCGAGTGACATGCCTTGCTTTAAAGGGGTTTTGTTACTATCAGGATGTGAAGAGACTTTCAACCAGCATAACAAAAATTTTTTTTTAACCATATCACCTACCCTGCCTTTAATGATTCAAAAATAATACAAAAAAGCTAAATGGGTATTCACACTACTGCTTTTATTTAAAAAAAATTTTTTAAGTAACCCTAAACAATAATAATAATAAAACTCAAAGTATAGTGCAATATGACATATTTCATAAGAACCTAACATGCACAATATTTTATTGTGATGTACATACAACCTTAATGAAAATAAATGAAATTTTTAATCATTCCCGCAATAACTCCTTTAATATGTTGGTTACAAAAAATTATTTGAGATTGAATTGTTTGAATTGTAATATCATCCTTAGATTCTTCCTAGTATCTTTGTTTTTATTTCAGCAGGGTGCAAGGGCAAATATCACACCCTGGATAGGGGGTCCTGAAATATTGTCTTTGGTATAATGAAATTCCATTCAGAGGGGTAAAGGTTGAAAACCACTGCTGAAGAGTCTGCTTCATATAAACAGAATTCCTTACAACATTACTGTGGTGATATCGTGGTACAGTGACTATAATACCCTGGTGTTGTAATATGTACTGTCAAAATATGTTGTAAATGATTGCCAAATTCATATATTGTGGTGTTTACATTATATTCAAAATGCCAAAACCATGGTACTTTTTTGTATATGATGGAAGTTTCTTCCTCCTGATGGGATGAACTGCCTGTGTCCTTTTCTGCTGATGTGTAGGTTGAACGAGAGCAGAAGCAAATGTTCACCCGTGCATCAGTACCTCAGCACACAATCAGTGCTGTATAATTGACCCTGGCTTTTAAACACTCACTGGCCTCATTTTCTGTTTATGGGGCATTCTGAGCCTGACAGCAGAAAGCTATAATTGCAGTGATGTAATCCAAGGTACAAAGGGGCCCTTTCTCATCTCGCATCTCTAGAGGGAACCGTTGGCAGTGTGTTGCCATGGCAGAGCCGCCTGGTAGTGTCCTGAAAGCCGCTTTGCCACTTCTTGGGTGCGATTTGAAATAATCAAATTATTATTTCATATGCTTTATTGCGCATAAGGAACATCTTTTGTGGTCATCCCGCTGTTGTTATGATTTGTGTGGGCTGTAATGGCCCTGAGGAGAGCGATGACAATGGGGGAGGGTTCGCGACTATGCATTCGGTGCCATTTCCTGCTGTGATTACTAGGGATGCTTGACCCTTCGTGGCCCGTTCATGTTAACATGCAGCGCACCAGTGCATCAGTTAACATTCTGCAACCAAGTCCTACTCGACAAGGGGGATTGAACCTCTAGTGGCTTAACCAAATGCTCTACAAGCAGTGCAAGTTTTGTAATATCTTCCCAGACTGGGGGGATCAGTCAGATAAGGCTAAGAAAGGCTAAACGTGTCTTGCAGCATCAACAGTGAACGATCACATTACTGTCACAAATAGGAGCTGCAGCCTGCGGCCACTGGAGGCTTGTGTTTCAGTGCTGGTGGTTATCAAGGATGCTGGAAGACAAAGTCACAAGGTACAGCTGACATTCGGTTTGTTAAAAGTTGTTTATGAATAATATACTGTATGAATAGTTAACATTTATAATGTTGTATTAATAAGGTGTATTTAAAATGAGTATGCAAGTGAGAGATGCAGCAGAGCTTGGATATAGAATGTTATAGCTGTATTTTTAGATGCAGGAGAAAAAAAAACAGGCTTCATGTCTCATGTTTCAGGAGTAAAGTAACTAATTGCTGATCTGAGTCATCCAGAGTTTGGTTTGTCAAGTGACTCCCTGAGGATGTGTTGCATCCACTACTGTGTACACTAGATATATTGAGTTACCTGAGATCTCTGTCAGTGTCACAGGCCAGTTTATCTGAGTAATTGTATTATTATTATTATTATTATTATGTTTTGTTTCAGAGCAGTGGGAAATTCTCAAAAGGATGGGTATCAGGTATATTTTTTTATGATGAGTGCCACATCTTCTCAGTGATTGCTTATTTTGGAGCTTTTTCAGTGGACATTATTAAAAATTTAGATTTTTATATGCTGCTTGTAAACATGTAATATGAACATATTAGATCGATATATTTCAAGATCAAAAATTATAATAAAATTAATCAGATATTATACTGATTTATTGATAATAAGACATAATTGCATATCAATATGTTTGCTGTGAAAAGTCACCAAATAATGTTTTTTTTATTAATAATTTTTATTATTGTATAATTAGGGCTGTCGCAATATCAGATTTTCTCTACACGATTATCATGGCCAAAATACTTCAATAACAATGAATTGTTATAATGATATCTATATACATTTTGGAACCAAAAAAAAAAGCCATCAGTCACATTCCTCTTAAACTTTTGTGTTATCACAATGAATCACACTGTATGCGAGTAATACATGTAGGAAGCCAGAGACAGATTTTGTGACCACACAACCGTACAAAAATAACCTGTGGACACTACCTGCAGACTTTTTTTACAGAATCTAAAAAATCCCCACACTGACAAGTTCCACTTTTTTTTTGAACGTGGGTAGAGTGTCTTGTTTTTGCTGGTCATCTTCTCTGACATGATTTTGTGCAGCAGTAGAAGCTACACACTGCATTGTCGTCGTCTTTTGTTCTGTTTTATGATGAGTGGCAATCAGCGTTACGATGCAGCACAGACACCTATTATGCTGGAGTGTCAACCAGATTGTTACTGGTTCTGGATTATTTACAATACTGCTGTATGTGTAGTATTAACATGACATCAAAATTAAAATTTTTAAATATTACTGTTATCATCATTACTGCTGGTGTATTAACACATCACTGGTCTGCAGTCCATTTTGCAATTTTGCATTTGTCACACTGCAGTTTTTGTTTTCAGTTCATGTACACATCCAGACAAATGTCATGCTTTGTATTTAAAGGAAATGCTGCTAGAGAACCTATTTCAGTCCTAAAATCTCAAGCTCCTCACCGTTTCTGTCTTCCCAGTATCCTTTGAGTGTCCCACCATCAGCATGTCCTCAGGCGCATCTTCTCCTGTGAAGTCCACCACCCCTCCTCTGTCCCCGCTGTCGCCAGTCTCTCCAGTTTCCCCCAGCTCTCTGCGTCTGCCTGCCTGCCGCCAAAGAGACCGGTCACCCTCCCCCATGAGGGGCTACCTGATTCCCAGCCCCCTGCCCACCCGCCGCAATCGCACCTGCTCAGCGTGAGTACAGCCACAACCATCCACTGTCGCCCCCAATTAATTTCATGCCTTCATGTGTTTGTGTGTGTGTAGATAGATATTTCAATGTCACATGATCCAGAAATCATTCTGATATGCTGATTTGGTACTCAAGAAACATTTCTTATTTTTATCAATGTGAACAGCTGTGCTGCTTAAAGGGGTCATATGATGCGATTTCAATTTTTCCTTTCTCTTTGGAGTGTTACAAGCTCTTGGTGCATAAATAAGATCTGTAAAGTTGCAAAGACCAAAGTCTCAAATCCAAAGAGATATTCTTTTATAAAAGTTAAGAGTCAGCCACACCTACCTAAAACGGCTCGTTCTAACACGCCCCCACATGTCTACGTCACGACGTGGGAAGATTTGCATAACACCGCCAAAATGTTCACGCAAAGAAAGAAGGCGTAACTTTTATTCTTGCTGTAGTATTGTTGCTGCCTCCATGTCGTGAAGACGCTGTGTGTTTCGTTGTGAAAGAAAAACTACTTTGTTTGGCCTTCCAAAAGAGGACGATATCCTCTTCGTCATGCCTAGAGCTGATCCATGCTGGTCGCTGAAGAAATACATCAGCTTCGCACTTTCACCGTGGACGAAGCGGAGTCAAGCCCGGGGTCGTCACATGTGGTTGCCGCAAGCCTCCGCTCACTCTAGCCGCCGGCCGCTGCGCACTCTAGCCCGCTGTGTGTTTCGTTGTGAAAGCAAAACTACTTTGTTTGGCCTTCCAAAAGAGGACACGACTTGAAATCAGTGGTTAAGTTGTATTTACAAAAATACAAACGTATTGTCCGCACACTGATGTAACTGCTCCATAAAAATAATTGATTGCTGCAAGGTTTCGGAAACGTTGCAGCAATAAATTATTTTTATGGAGCAGTTACATCAGTGTGCGGACAATACGTTTGTATTTTTGCTATAGTTTGACTTTTTTTGTCCTGCACCTGAGCCTTGTGTGGGTTTGTGGGATGTCCGCAACTTTCTTACACTTTGGTTTTTAAGTTGTATTTACAACACTGTTCCAGAACAGTTCAACCCAAATATTCAGATGTGTCCAGCACATTTTATGGAGGACTGTTTCCTGATACTGGTAAAGTAGACTACAATGCCGGCTGTTCTGACTCACAGACTGCAAGTACGTTTTTTATATTTAAAGGATTTGCCACTGATGATTGAAATGCGAGTTTTGAGCAGTGTAGACTAGAGTAGCGCTTGTTGCTTGTAATTTCTCCGATCACAAATGCAGACATGGTTTTATGTTCACACGGCGCATTGCAACGTGTAAAAAGACAGTACAAGTCATTATAATACATAATTATGACCCCACTGGATGCAACAAATGCCTAGTTTATAATGGGTTTTAATGTTTTTGTCTCGTCGCTCCGGCCTGACGGCATCACGGTAAGGGGCGTAACATTTCCAGCACACGCTTGAGGTATTCGGCCAATCACAATGCACTGGATAGCTGGCCAATCAGAGCACACCTTGCTTTTCAGAACGATGAGCTTTGTAAAAATCGATGCGTTTCAGAAAGGCGGGGCATAGAGGAGAAACAATCATGTACAGTATGTGGAAAATAATGTGTTTTTTTTAACCTTAAACCGCATAAACACATTTCATTACACCAAATACACAAAATAATGTTCTTTTTAGCAAAATCATATGACCCCTTTAATACTTTTGTGAAAACCATGGTACATTACCATTCAAAAGTTTGGGTTCATTAAGATAAGAAAAAAATAGGAATACATTTTTTCATTTAGCAAGGACCATACAGCCATTTATAATGTTACAAAAGATTTCTATTTCATATCAATGCTGCTCTGCAAAAAACAAACAAAAAAAACAACTGTTTTCAACATTGATAATAATAAGGACCATTATTAATCATTGAGCACAAATAGTAATTGATAATATTTGAGCACCAAATCTTCATACAAGAATGATTTCTGAAGGATCATGTGACACTGAAAACTGGAGTAATGGCTGCTGAAAATTCAACTATGCATCACAGGATTTAATTATATATTAAAATAAAACCACTTATTTTAATATGTAATAATATTTCACAATATTACAGTTTTTACTGTATTTTTGATGCATGTTTCTGTGAACTTCACCCATATATAGATTGTTGAGTAATACTTTTTCCTTTCTACCACTCCAGTACAGTGCGTGCAGCTGAGGGGCCGGTCTTCACTGGGGTCTGCAAGTGCTTTTCACGTTCCAAAGGGCACGGTTTCATCACGCCATCAGATGGAGGCAATGACGTCTTTGTGCACATATCTGAGTGAGTTCACTGGGCAAACATCTTGAACCTTCAACCAGATTTCATGCTCCTACATCCAAGCCAACACACATTCCACAACAATCCCAGTTAACTCGGAATCACACGTATCAACAACACCTTGATTATCAGTGGAGTAGATGCAAAGACAAATCATTATTAATATGCATTCCTAATCATAGATCATAAATGATAGTGCTCCCAGTCTATTTGTTGATGGATTTGAACTAATCATGAAGGAGGGGCTTCTGGGAATAGAAACTTGTGGAGTGTGTGTATGTGTGAAAGGTTTTGGGCTCAGTTAAACACTTGAATATGAGAGATAAGAGCAGTAGACTGGCTTCTCTCCGATCAAGTGTGTTTGACCAGTGGAAAAACGGATAGACTTGCCAGCTGCCCCCTTTTCAAACATTCAGAACATCAAAGGATTTTATGGATTTTTACAGAATATTGGAAACCTGCAGATGAGTGTCTGCTCCCTTTTGGATATTTGCTTAATTCTAGATTTATTAATGTCTTCAACTACATAAAATCAAATTCTGTGAGGAAACTTAAGAAAACATAACACTAGGGGTGGCCCCGACTAAGGATTTTCATAGTCGAATCGGAATTGTCGAATCTTGTCGATAATCGACTGATAGTCGAATCATGTGTTTGGGGGCGGGAGGCAAAATACATGAACAAGAGTCAAGTCAAACATTCGACAGCCATAATTAAGGTGCGTTCACGTGATATTGGAATTCCCGTAATTTACGAGATTCCAAATTGTGAAAAGCGTTCACGTCCTCGTAGAACTCTATTCTGAGTTTTCTGAGAGCTACGACTTGTACCACGTGACCGCTGTACCACCTGGCCACTGCAGGCTAGGCATTGATAGTGTTGCCATTAGTGATGGGAAGTTCGGATCATTTTACCGACTCGGACCTTTGAGTCTCATTCAGCAAAATGAACGAATCTTTTTTCGAGTCATTTCGTTCATTTTAGCAAAACTTAACCTATGCAGTTTGAGCCGGAAAGAGAATTGATTAGTTCATCTCTCGAGTCTTTCGAATCGTTTGTTCTTTTGTCACGTGACGTGACAGCATTGAATAGAGAAATTTGTTAATTTAGAAGCTTCCTTACAAATGGGTGCATAGTTATTATTATTATTATCATTATTATAATTATTATTTACTCTTACAGTTACAGATGAGTTTCTGGTCTCAAATTGTAGCTTTTTACTTCTTACAGTTTATAAATGTGTGAATTTCTGTCATGATGGTTCTTTTCCATAATACTGAATGTTGTAACAAAGGTAATAAAGAGTTGGTTATTATTATTAAGTCTCTTTCCGGCTCAGACTGCATAGGTTAAGCTTATGGGTCTGTTACGTGATGAACGAACGACTCGGAAAAACCCAAAGACTCGAAAGATGAACTAATCAATTCTCTTTTCGGCTCAGACTGCATAGGTTAAAGGGTTAGTTCACCCAAAAATGAAAATTAGCCCATAAATTACTCACCCTCAAGTCATCCTAGGTGTATATGACTTTCTTCTTTCAGACGAATCCAGTCGGAGATATATAAAAAATTGTCTTTGATCTTTCAAGCTGTTTCATGGCACTCAGCGGGTGTTGCATGCATCAGTCCAAAACAAGTTAAATAAAAAGTGCCCATCCATAAAAAAATAAGTGTCTCACACGGCTCCGGGGGGTGAACAAAGGCCTTCTGTAGCGAATCGATGTGTTTTTGTAAGAAAAATATTGATATTCAGAACGTAATAATCACTTTAATGTAGCTTGCACTCACTGTTGTACACTGGAAGCAGCTCCGGGAGGATGACGTATGGAGGTCGGCTTTGCGCATGCGCCGCTCAGAAGTGACGAACACGGAAACGCAGCGGAGAGATCAAAACAAAACAACGGTCACTAATTAGAAGTACAACACCCCTGCGAATATTTAACTGTGAGATTGGTAGTCGAATCCTCCTATCGAAGCATTGAATCGTCGACTATTCGGGGTCACCCATACATAACACATTTATGTTATTTATATTTAACAGATAATTCAGTAGGGAAAAAAAATACACACACACAGGCATAATGGTTTTTATACTGTACAAACTGTATTTTCTATCCCCTAACCCTCCCACACAACTTTCTGCATTTTTAGATTTTCAAAACACTATATGCTGTATGATTTATAAGCTTGTTTCCTTATGGGGACCTAAAAATGTCCCCACACAGTCAAAATTTACTGTTATTACTTACTTGGTGGGGGTCCCCATAACATTGTGAATGCCAGTATATGTATATATATATATATATTAAAAACCATAATTATTAGTTATTTCCACCCTTGTGGCCTTGGTTATTGCAACAGGAAAGTAATTTTAGGGACTGAGAAAAGTTACTTAAAAATGGATCCCATTTTAAGTATTTTTATTTTGTCACCAACATGTCTGGTCTTAGTGTGCACTTAATCTGAAATAAATTTTACAGCTTTTGCTCCAAAATGTTCCTTTTCAGATGTTTCATTCAGCAGATGTTTTCATGCCATTTTTTATTTCGAATTTCAATCTGCTCTTTTAATATATCTGCATACACTTTTAAGCACCCTTGTCTAAATCCAGCAAGTAAACGCATTAAATTTTTTGTTGATCTCCATTATTCCCACAGCGTCGAGGGTGAATATGTGCCTGTGGAAGGAGATGAAGTTAGCTACAAGATCTGCTCTATTCCACCCAAACATGAGAAGATCCAGGCCGTGGACGTGACCATCACTCATTTAGTGCCAGGCACCAAACATGAGACCTGGTCTGGAGCGGTGGTTGAATCATGAGATGCTCTCTAACTCTGAACTGTGTGATAGTTATGTCAAAATGGGTTTCTGTTCCTTTTCTGGAGGTTTGGGTGGGATGGGAACGGGTCCGAATTAATGAATGCTTTTAAGTGCTGTGACATGACGCCACAATTCCTATAAAAATATGAAGTCCCCCCCCCTTTCTTTCTTTGGTCCCAGGAAGGGAGTTTGTTTAAAATTCTCTATTATTGGGTTTGTGGTTAATAATGTGGAATGAACAACAGTCAGTTATACTTACCCTATCCACCATAGATTGATTTGAATGTTCTTAAGAACTGACTGCACTCTTAACAATAAGCCTCGACGCATATCTAAATGGCTAAAATATGTATTCACTGAATTTTTTTTTTGTCTGTCTACATTGTCAAAATATATCACTTTGATCATTTCTCATGTGCACATGTTTCTTGGTCATTTTGCTTCAAAGACATTCAAGAACAACAAAAGATTAATCAAAATGTCCAGATTTATTTTATAACTTCCTCAGACAACATTTAGGTTTTATGTAGAAATTACATCAACAATAATTTCTTTCTAACTGTACTACACATTACTGTAAACATATGCAGCATTTTTTTTAATTAATTGTTATCTGTTTCAATAATACACATTTTTCAATTAAATACTGACTTTGCAGAGTACAGATAGACACATATCGGATCGCTGCGGCCTTTCTGCACGCTGCCTGTCCACAACATTAAAAGAATGTTTAAAGGCATCCAAAACAGCATGAATTACATTTCTATATTACACTAACATACGGGACACAATATCACAAAAGAATAACACACTGTGTTAGAGAGGGTGTGATTTTGCGCACATTAATATTTGATGCGTTAATGTCAGTTAAATAAGGAACTTGATTCCGATGCGGCAACAATATTTGGGGGTTGGTGTTCACAAACAAACTTACACAATGAGCATTGCATAATCTAACTACAGTAAGTACATACTGGGGTTTAAGTGTTTGAAAAGGAAAAGATGATTAAAACGAACCAAGCTGAAGCTCGGAGCAACTGGAAGAGTAGAATCACCCCGAAGATCAATCTTTTACAGGCTGCGATAACCATAAAGTGAAGATGACCTTCTAGTGGTTATCCAGCGCAACAATATACCTTTTCTTACATGGCCTGTAATGAGAAACATGAGGGGATCATGTTCTCCTGAGCAGGGGCTGAACACTAAGCCGAGCGGCCTCAAGCTTGTGCTTATCAAACATGCTTCCAGACAGATTTCTATTGCTAGATCAGGTGGACATTTGGCTGTGAAAATACAGATTTATGGCCCTGTTAATTCTGTAGGATCGTAGAAAATGTCAGCCCTCCCGTTACCTCACCAAGTTGTGCTTTAAATGTTTTGTGCTGGCAACATTACATTCATATACCTCAACGGGATTCAAACAAAGAGACCTTGCGTCATAGTAATGACAATGATCAATGATACAGTAAAGCAGCCACCTCAATAAAGGGACTTGCTGATTGTTTGAAGGGTTTCATCTCAACAGATGTCCTATTAAAATGGGAATAGAGGCTCTACAGTTCTCCGCACCTTCACTTTTTCCAGCTTGGCTCTCTCTAGCGCCTCAGGACGCAATCAAGCCAACACTGCTTCTACGATTTATCTTTCACACATGCTTTTAATTCAGAGAGGATCGTAATATTCAGGTACTCCGTAAATTCATTCTTCCGTCATGCAAAATTACACACTATAGACATTTCAAATGCAGCCATTTCTCTATAGATACTAAAATAGTTCGATTTTATCTCCACAAAAACTATTTTCTGTAGTTTTGGTGTCATACACAATTAGAGCACTAATCTTTTCATGTTACCTTCCAAACGCTAAGGACTTTTTTTATTTGACAAAAGGATATAAGAAGAAATATTGCGATTAGAAATCCTGTTCTGTCTCGGTGGTCTGTGCTTTATTCAGCTGACTTGCGGCTTGTTGGACCTTACGGTTCACAAATTCACAAAAGTTGCTGTGTCATCAGGAGAGATTTACTTAAATATGTAATTTGATTTTGAGTGGGCTAAATCCTGCAAACTCCTTCCGATCTTCAATCTGTCCACCCTCAGTAAAAGACAAGAAATATGGTGGCAGGGCCGAATCTGTGCTGGCTAAATAAACAGAGATCGAAAACAGAATTATATCCTTCTTAATAAGTAATGACAGGAAGAGAGCGAATGTAAAGAGAGAGAGAGAGAGAGAGAGAGAGAGAGAGAGCGACAGAGACCAATTAATTGTGACAGGCTGGTATAAACCCTTGAGTGGGCTTGGACCTCTATGTGCTCCGTAATCAAGGCCGACCTGGCAGCCAGAACTCTATTTATGCTCAGCCAGGATGTCATTCAGGATGTTCAGGAGCTGATGGACATGGTACTCCTTGAAGACCAACGCGGGACGGAAACGGATGGTCTTTTCTCCACAGGAACCCATAAATAGACCTGGTGAGATAGAGAACATAGTATCCCATAAAGTCACTCCATCTTACATGGTGAGGACCAAGTCTAAAGTTAACTTATTTATGTGTAACTTTATTATTATTATTAATATTATAAATGTAGTATTAATAATCATGATTCAAAACAACAACAATAATACTCCTAATGATAATTCATATTATTATTACTGTTGTTGTAGCGATTAATGATCATAATTTTTTATTAATCAGATAATAATTATGATCAGAATTATAAAATAATAATTGAAAGTGATTATTATTTTACAAGCATATTAATAATAAAAAAGTTAACAGTAATCACAAAAATCACAGTAGTAGTAGTATGTACTGTATAGTTAATTTGTAATTTAATTAGTAGTGTTCAGATTGCAAAAACAATATTAATATTCATAATGATACTAATGTTATATTTTTATTATTATGAGATAATGCATGCATTGATATACTACTACTACTACTACTAATAAAATGATTATACATGATTAGTATTTAAAAATAACTAATAACAATAATAATAATAACAATATTGTTATTATTGTATATATGGACATACATTATTTAAAAAAATTTAAAGGGATAGTTCACCCAAAAATGAAAATTTGATGTGTATCTGCTTACCCCCAGGGCATCCGAGATGTTGGTGACTTTGTTTCTTCAGTAGAACACAAACGAAGATTTTTAACTCAAACCGTTGCAGTCTGTCAGTCTTATAACATAAGTGAATGGGAATCACGGCTTTGAAAGTCAAAAAACCATACACAAACAAAACCAAATTAAACCCTGCGGCTTGTGACGATACATTGATGTGTAAAGACCCGAAACAATCGGTCTGTGCAAGAAACTGAACAGTATTTATATTGTTTTTTTCAATGTATCGTCACGAGCCGCAGGGTTTAATTCGGTTTTGTTTGTGTATGTTTTTTTGACTTTCAAAGCCGTGATTCCCATTCACTTCCATTATAAGACTGACAGACTGCAACGGTTTGACTTAAAAATCTTCATTTGTGTTCTACTGAAGAAACAAAGTCACCTACATCTGGGATGCCCTGGGGGTAAGCAGATAAACATCACATTTTCATTTTTGGGTGAACTATCCCTTTAATATTAGATAACTATGCAATAATCTGTGGCTGCAAAAGACACAATGAACGGTCACTGATATGCAAGAAAAAAAAAACAAATAATCCTCTTATTAAAATAACTTTTCTCCTCCATAAAAAGTCCTGCCAGGAATTTACAGTTTCTTTTAATTCTCTTGCCAACCTCACGTGTGATGGCTAAAGTGGCCACAGCTCACCCTTGTTCCTGGCCTTAAGCATGATACTGTCACGTGTGGCATCATTGCAGGTGTCTATGGCACAGAATGTGCCCTGGCCACGGGTTCTGCTCAGGATATGAGGGTACTGGGTCTACGTGAGGGGAAGCAGCGAGACGTTAAACGAATGTACAGCTCACAATGTGAAAGGTATCATCAATCCACAACCACATCCTCAAAACAAACACTCATTACGCTGACAAGCTCTATGACAGGCTCAGGTTCTCCCTCTGGCAGCAGATGTTATGAGGTTGGCCCTCAGATGAACAAAGAACGTCCACATAATATAACCATTAATGGTTTTAAAGCATCTCGTGTTGAGCTGTGGCACGTGTGAAGAATCAGTCATGTGAGGTGGCCGTACCTGCAGTGCGTAAAGGCCCTGTAAAAGGGCCTTCCCTGAGCGCGTCACCTCTTCCAGAAGGTTCTCTCTTCTGATCACATTAAGCACCTCCGATAAGAACAGATTCTTTGAGGGGTCTCCCATCCATGTGTTGAAGATTCTGTAGGGCTGAGGTGCATACAGCCATGTCAGTTTAAATGATTATTTTACTTGTGTAACTATTACAACTCATGCTCAAGTCTTCTTGCAACCAAAATTTGCATTATGCAATATTATTGTCAATTGACAGGTCTTCATTTCAATCAGTTGTTATTCTTGCAATGTAGCTTTTCTAGTCATTTAAATAAACGTAGCCCAAACTATCTTTTGTGTGATGTAGCTACTTTTTTGTTTCGAATTGAGATAATGCAGCACCATAGAAGGTTACTGTACAAAAAGAAACATGTTTTCAACAGTAGGGGGTGTGATTGCTCAATTCCATAAAGCTATGAACCTCATCCAAGGACATGGAATCATTTAGACAAACAAAGATTGTGAAACTGCAGAACAATCATCTGGTACTCAAACACATTATAATGCTATTCATCAACGATGACTCATTTAGGAAATGGATAAAGCAGCCAGTTGGGGACAATTACTGGGAATGATTTTGCGTCGCCGTGAGGAAGCAGTGACAGCTCTTACTTTGTCTGCTAGCAGTTCATCCCTGTGGTAGTATCCTCCTGTCAGCAGCTTCTTGCTGAAGGAGACAACATCAGCAGGGTCGTCCAGGCCCCAATGCTCATGGGCCCAGAACTTGCCTGTTGTTCCTCCACCTGTCTGCACCTCATCCACGTGGAAAGCACAGCCATGCTGAAAGAACCAGACACAGAGAAACATCTGTCAGCTCGCTCTCTGTCAAAACCAGTCCTGTCAGCCTGCATACAATTGCATTACAACACCCGCCGGACACGGCCATTGCACTTTGCTACGCTTCATTTGAAGTGAACATGTCCCGAGCTTTTCAGAGAGACCGTGGACTCTATCACAATTACTAAAAGAGACTCTTTTCTCTGCATAAAACAACCATATAAAATTATTTCCTTTTGTCTCCTGGCTTATCTTATTCAGAGGGATGCAAATTAGAGCAGATAAGAAGAACTTCCTACAGATTCTTGAGTGTCTTTTTTATTGGACAGTTCAAAGAGCCTCATCTTAGCTATTTATAGCTGGAGTATGTATCTCAAACGACTTCAAAGCACAGATCTGACAAACAAAGACGACCATGGAAGATAACGAAGCATTATAGAAAACAGTTAGCCTGAAAAGCGCTTCACCTTGCGTGCAATATTTCGCAGTTTGCTGAAGAAATCAGGAGATGCGTGGTTGTCCCCTCCCTCTGCCTGGATGGGCTCGATCACAATGCCAGCCACTGGTCTGCCCTTCTGCCTCCACTTAACGATGAGATCCTCAACCTGACACACACATATATTAATATCTCACTTGTATGTGATGAAGTAGGTAACACTTTGCAGAAGGTGCACTGAAACGCAGCAATCAGTCTGTGTTTCATAAATGTGACCCTGGATCACAAAACCAGTCATAAGGGTCAGTTTTTTAAAATTGAGATTTATACATAAATATAAATAAATAAGCTTTCCATTGATGTATGGTTTGTTAGGATAGGACAACATTTGGTCAAGATACAAGTATTTTAAAATCTGGAATCTGAGGGTCCAAAAAAAATCTAAATATTGAGAAAATCGCCTTTAAAGTTGTCCAAATGAAGTTCTTAGCAATGCATATTACTAATCAAAAATTAAGTTTTAATATATTTACATGGAACATGATCTTTACTTAATATCCTAATGATTATTTTGTGATAATTTTGACCCATACAATGTTTTTTTGGCTACTGCTAAAAATATACCCCAGCGACTTGAGACTGGTTTCGTGGTCCAGGGTCACAAATAATGTTGAACTTCTACTAGATATTCAGTGTCAGCCAGGGTTATTATCATTAACTAAAACTACAACTAATCAAATATTTTTGTTAATTGAAATAAAGCTGACATAAAAATAAATATTAAATATTAGATTAAATTTTTTAATTAGCTGCCTTTGCAACTAATTAAAATAAGTTTAATTTGAAACTAAAATTAATGGAAAAAAAAAACTGAAATAAAAATAAAAATAAATGAAACCTAAACAGTACTAATACAAATGAAAAAAGCACAAAACTAAATTAATATAATTTAAACTGCAATTAAAATGAAAAAAAAAAAAAGATTAAAAGCGAATTAATAATTTTAATAAAACTGTAATATTATATAAATACTACAAAAATAACATTGAACATAACTATTAAACCTCAGTAGCTTAACAGTTAACCAATCAATAGCATTTGTAGCATTATGTTGATTACCACAAAAAATAATTTCAATTTGTCTCTCGTTTGTTTTGTTTTTTGTTTTTAAATCTTTTGCCCATATGCAAAATTCTTGATCACACACATTCCTACTGACATCACTGAAAATCGGCCATAAAATTTTGCCAAACAATGGTAAATCTGACAGTACCTATAGTAATTACCTATAATAAATGTTATATCTTGCGGTGATACTATTAAAACAGTGAGTATTTTAGCATTTATGGACTGGCACCATTCACTTCCATTGAAAGTGCCTCACTTTAGCAGATTTTTGCTTTTTGCAAATGCTGTTGATTGCGCTTAACCTGTACTGAACCCGGAATACGTCTTTACTTAGTATGTGGAGAAAAGTTGTAAGACATCTCTGACCTCCTCCAG